GTCCCAAATCTTTCATAGCAAAAGACTTGCTCAACTCCAATTTCAACCTGTTTATCATGGTAGAATCTTGACCCACAATTAACATGCCATCAACATAAAGCAAAAGAATAATAAATTTACCATCCGGAAAATTTTTCACAAACACACAATGGTTCGAAGTGGTTTTAGAAAAATCATTATTCATCATGAAAGAGTCAAATTTTTTGTCCCATTGTCGTGGGGCTTGCTTGAGGCCATACAAACTTTTCTTCAATTTGAAAACAAATTTCTCGTTCCCTTTCTCTACAAAACCTTCTGGTTATTCCATGTAAATTTCTTATTCAAGGTCACCATGAAGAAATGCGGTCTTCACATCAAGTTGCTCAACTTCAAGGTTCATACTTGCAGCCATGCCAAATACAACCCGAATAGAAGACATCTTTACAACTAGCGAGAAAATTTCATCAAAATCAATACCTTTCTTTTTCCCAAAGCCTTTTACAACAAGACGTGCTTTGTACCTCAGATTCTTGCCATCATTCTTCAATTTGAAGACCCACTTATTTTTTAAAATTTTCCTCCCTTTAGGCAACTTCGCTAAATCATAAGTGTGATTTTCATGCAAGAAATTCAATTCCTCTTCCATTGCCTTTTTCCAATCATCTTTCTTTGCATGCTCAATTGCTTCTTGGTAGCTCTCCGGCTCCCTTTAATCAGAAATCAACACAAATTCATTAGAAGGATACTTTCTTGAAGGTTGTCGGTCCCTTGTAGATTTTTTTAACTCAAGTTGTGGTGGCGGTTCTTGAGTTGGATGTTCTTCCTCAATTTCTAGCTCAACTTCATTACAATTAGCATCATCCTATGCATCTTCAATAGGTGGCTGTACATCTCTCCCATTTTCATCATCAACTGAAGATGAAGAAGATGGATCCATGTCAATGAGATCACTAGTTTTTGACTCCGGTTGATCACCTTTGCCAAAGTCTTCAATTGTTTGGTCTTCAAGAAACACAACATCACGGCTTCGAATAACTTTCTTGTCGACTGGATCCCACAATCTATATCCAAATTCATCACGCCCATAGCCAAGAAAAATACATTGTCTTGACTTGCTATCAAGCTTGGACCTCTCATCTTTTGGAATGTGAACAAAAGCTCGGCAACCAAACACTCTCAAGTGCTCATAAGACACATCTTTACTGATCCAAACTCTTTCTGGAACATCACCATTCAAAGGATAGGAAGGAGACAAATTGATCACGTCAACCGCTCCATTTTGTTGAGGAGTCTTCTTAACTGTCTTTTGGTGCCGAATACCTTGGCTGCGACAATACTCATCAAATGGCCCAATGTATTCACCACCATTGTCTGATCGGATGCACTTCAATTTCTGCCCTGTTTCTCTTTCAACCATGGCCTGAAAATGCTTAAATACTTTTAGAACTTGATCTTTAGTTTTTAGTAAAAAGGCCCAAACTTTTCTTGAATAATCATCAATGAAAGTAACAAAATAAAGTGCACCACTATGTGTTCTAACTTTGAAAGGACCACAAACATCCGAATGAATCAACTCCAAAACATTTTCTTTTCTAGAAGCAACATTTTTTTGAAAAGAAACTCTATATTGTTTACCCGCCAAACAATGAACACAAGTTTTAAGATGTGTACCTTTCAAACCGGGTAGAAGCTCTTTCTTGAACAAAACTTGCAGCCCCTTTTCACTCATATGGCCAAGCCGCTTGTGCCACAATTCGGTAGAAGTATCATCTTCAAGTGTATTGACAATACCTTTACAAATTTTTCCTTGCATCGAATAAAGTGTATGAGTCTTCTTACACTTAGCCACCACCAAAGAACCTTTTGTGAGCTTCTATATTCCATCACCAAATTTATTGTTGAAGCCTTCATCATCTAGCTTCCCAGTAGAGATCAAATTGAGGCGAATGTCAGGAACATGCCTCACATCTTTAAGCAATAACTTGCAGCCCAAATTTGTTTCCAAGCAAACATCACTCATACCAATAATTTTGGACAAACCTTCATTACCCATTCGAACAAAACCATAATCTCCTTCGGTGTGGGTAATGAAGAAATCAACTCGAGAAGTCACATGAAAAGAAGTACCGGAATCAATCACCCAATTGCTCTCTTGGCCCACAAAATTGATACAATCATCTTCACAAACGACCATGAGATCAGCATTGGTAGTAACTGCCGTTGTGTCTTCTTGCTTCTTATCCACACTTTTGTCACGCCTTTTCTCCTTCGCTTCATGTGCCCTTTCTCATGGCAATAATAGCACTCAATGTCTTTCTTTGAAAAAGAATCATCTTTTGATTTGTCACGGCTTTGATCACGACCATGAGGAGTCTTACTCCTCCCTCTTGTTTTGCTTCGGCCTCTCACAACAAATGCTTTTGAATGAGATGAACTTGCTGATTTTCTTCTAGTTTCTTCATTCAACAGGCTACTTGGCCCATTGTGACAACTCCATCGGGCGCCGAATTACTGACAATCACAACCAAAGTCTCCCAACTTTCGGGCAAAGAACTAAGTAGCATCAAAGCCTACAACTCATCATCAAAAACAATTTTCATAGAAGCAAGTTGGTTAACAATACTCTTTATTTCATTCAGATGTTCCGGAATAGGGCTACCCTCTTTATATTTTAAATTAACCAACTTACGAAACAGAAAAGCTTTATTTGTGGCTGATTTCCTATCATAAAGGCTCTCTAATTTTTTCATAAATCATGTGCTGAAGTTTCAGTAGCAACATGATGACACACACTGTCATCAATCTATTGACGGATAACACCAACGGCTTTTCGATTAAGCCTATTCCATTCATCATCTATCATACCCTCGGGTTTGCCACTATCACCCTTAATAGGCCCATACAAATCTTTACAAAATAATAGGTCCTCCATTTTAGTTTTTCAAGTTACCCAATTGCTTCCATTGAAGCTAGACATACGACCCACATTCCCCTCCATTGATTTAGACCCAAATAAACCGTAAGTTCTGATACCAGTTGTTAGGGAAAATCTATGATTCTCCACAAGTAAATCAATTAATAGGAATAAAAACTAATACGAAAAAATTAAATTAAAAAGCAACACAAGAATTTTTACGTGGTTCCCTCAATGTGAGGTACGTCCACGGGATCGAAATCCGATTCCACTATCAACCAAATAAGTTCCAAACGATTACAAACGAGACACTAATGGTCTCACAAAAACCGCCCTTAGGTGAATTCCAAATAATCACAAATAAACAAGAGGAAAGACCTCACCAAATAGATGAACCAAAATCTTCAGAATCAGAGTTAAAGAAGACCAAAAAAACGAACCCAAATCAACTTCACCAAAACACCTAGCCGAAGATGCACCGAAACACTTCCCCCGAATTGATTGATTTCAAATTGTTCTGTATTAGCCGCAGCACCTCTTCAAAAAGAGCTAAACAATATATATATTATATATGAAATTGATAGGCAAGCATTCTTTTCCCCAGGAATTCACTGCTGCCGCTGCGTGCTTCGGAAAAGGTGAAGGACAAACAATATATATATATTAGTAATAATATATATGTTGTGAATCTTGGGTTTTTGTAATTAAACTCTAATTGTATCTAAATTGAATTGGGTCTCCACAAATTAAATATAATATATAAAAATATATTATAATTAATACTAAACCAAATTAAACTCTTTTTCTAAAACTAATTAGATCCCACACTCCAATAAGGAGGTATACCCAACAAGAGTTATCCCCAGTAAACGGATATGATTTGCATGTTTAGGAACATGATATGAGCTTCCCTGAATTTAGGATTTCATGTTATGGTTCATTTTACATATGTTGTGTCATGAGATTTAGGCTTATTTAGTTAATCTTTTGTCATATTCTTATGGCTTTTATTTTGGTATTATTATGATATTGGAATTAACATTTTATTGATTTTTATTTTCTTCTAACTTTTCAAGTAAATAGTTAGTTTAATGCTTTGATTACTTACCTATTGCTATTTTGTAAATAAGTGTTTAAGTTTATTTTTAGTTTTATTATGCAATAAAAATCATGTCAAGTAGACTAATTAATCACCTGATTAGGCTAAATAGGTGCTTAACACCTTCCCATTTAGTAATTTGGCCCCCAAACTTCTCTCTTTGAGTAATACAAAAATGATTCATCCCCCCTTTTCCTCCCATCCCCTTTGACCCCCTCTCTCTCTCATTGGTTACATTTTCTTTTTCTTTTTCTTTTTTTTCCTACTCCTCCAATCACCACCCGCCACGTGGCAAAAGGGGGGTGAGGGGGTGACCCCCAAAAGGGGGTCCCAAGCATTATTCTTGAGCAATAATGATACTAGTGCCTGTCCTTGGAGGTGCATATGTATGGCTTCCCAAGACCTATATTCGGGTAATGACTCCTAGAATCAATCAAACTCTTTTGAACTTCCGGTTGCCCTCAGAATACCGTTGGTCCACTATTGCAGAAATGACGGCCTCAAAAACCCCATGCCCACAATTCAAATAAACTTGTTTTCTATTATTTACGGAAAACATTTTTTGTTAATTTTTGTTTTTCATCATACCAAATGTCAAAAAAAAAGTGAAACATTTTTCAGAAAATATTTTCTGCCCAACAACCAGAACATCAATAGCATTTTTTAAATATATATATATATATATTGGTTACTGAGATTGTTGAATATATTTTTTTGGTTGCATGTAGCTGTGGTATGCCTATGCCAAAACTACAGCAGAGAAAGAGGCATGGAGAGTAGCAGAGGAAAGTGGAATTGATCTAGTGGTGGTGAACCCCTCTTTTGTAGTTGGTCCCTTGCTTGCTCCAAAACCAACCAGTACACTCCAATTTATATTGGACACAGTTAAAGGTTGTACACATCAATGATCTATAATTTTGATTTTGATTTTTTTACAAAGTAACATTGCTTAGCTACTGTCACTTTTAACAATCTGTCCTTTTATTCACAACATTTTCTTTTGAAATGTGGCCATGGGCTTTCTATCCTTCAATTTTGCTCTATCCTAAAACATTTACATCAATTAAATTATTGTCTTGAGATTAACACATCTTAAGATATTCAATTATTCAGTGATTGTGAGAATTCTTGGTCCTATCCTCTTGGGTTGGTGTAACACGCCAAGTCTACCAATATGAATGAATTAAATTTGGTGGGAGGTGGGATAACATACATAATTCTTAGTGAATGAAAGTCTCGAAGCTAATAGTCTCGTGTAATTCAATCGAATGAAATGCCTTAGATGGATGTAATCCTAGTTGTAGCAACATTGGAAGTTGAGGGGTTCCTACCCTGTATGTTTCTTTGTACATTTTTGTTTAATTTTCTAAAAAAATTATTAAAAAAGGTATCCAAATCAAACATCTAGACCAGCCACAAAGCCCATCTTAATTCTGCAATTTGCTCTAATACTTGTGCTAACTTTTGATCAGGTTTGAAAGGAGAATACTCAAATTTGACAATAGGGTTTGTGCACATAGATGATGTGATTGCTGCACATATCTTGGCAATGGAGGAAAGCAAAGCATCAGGCAGGCTCATATGTTCCAGCTCAGTAGCTCACTGGTCAGAGATCATTGACATGCTTAGGGCTAAATATCCATCCTACCCATTTGAAGACAAGTGAGACATTAAATTTACTTTATTGTTATTAAATTTTACCTTCAATTGCATTCACCTTCTCTCTACTTTTTCTTTTGGCTCACGAATTCTTTCTATAAATTCAAAATCCAAACACAGTATTAAAATAGGGTGCTTATATAAGTGTTTACTACTTGTGTTGTGTGTAGGTGTAACAACCAAAAAGGAAATAACAATCCACACAGCATGAATAGTAACAAGATTATTCAGTTGGGCCTCCCTCCTTTAAAGACAATTGATCAAATGTTTGATGACTGCATCAAAAGTTTTCAAGACAAGGGATTTCTGTGTGCTCCATAATCATGTCTTTGAATGCTACTTCAACTAGTTGGTCCATTTTATTCTTAAGTACTAAATGATTTATCCCCTATTTAAGAATTATTGAAAATAGTATATGACCCTTTTGAAATGTAAAACAATCAAATATTTATTTCTGTTTTAACAGTTGTACTAAAATTTCTCTCTTTATTCTCATGCACGCTCAGTCACACAAAGGAGTGAAAATGTCGAGATACGAATGTGTAGCTAAGAATGCATTGAAACAAAGTAATGAAGAGACTTGGGTACTCTTTGCCACTACCAAGACTCTACGCAACAAGACTACATGCTATTAACATGGTTTGTGCAATCCCGTGTTATGGGCATCTTTTAGCAATGCAACATAATATTTTGTAAAATACAAGACTACTATTTTGTGAGCCCCATTATGGAGATCATACAGATGTATAACTATTTGATAGTTCTAGTCATTTGATTTTATACAAAATATATATATATATATATATATATACTAATAAATGACGGGAATAAATTATTAAAAAAAAATGTTCCAAAAAAAGTTTTGAGGATTCAAATGGTTAAACTTCTCCAGATCAAATTGAGGTTTTTAAGTGTAAAGCAATTAGGCAAACGACAGTTCATTTTAAAATTTTAAGATTGAAATTGAAAAAATTAAAAAAAAAAGAATTTAATATATTAATGAAGTCAAATCTTAATTTTGTTATTTTGTTATTTTTGTATTTTTTTTTTCATAAAACAAACAAATTTGAATTTAAATAAGGCTGCAAACGAGCCGAGTTTTAGTATGTTTGGACTTGTTTGTTAAGATTTTAACGAGTTCGACCTCAAACTCAATAAAAATTTAACAAACCAAACTCGAGTTGAATTGACTTAGGGTTGACTCGAGCTCGAGCCGATGCACGAGTCTTAACGAGTCAAAAAATTTATAAATTCATACTTGCATATGAGACTAAAGTTATAATTAAAATTAATATTTTATCAAAATAATAATATCTACTACCACTATTATATAAATGTACTATCTATAGTTAACTATTATTTACATTTATATTTTTTAAATATATAAATAACATATTTATCTTATTTTTTATACATATTTTTACATTATTTAATATATAAATAATAACTATTAAACAAGTCAACTAATGAGTCGAGCTCTAGAATGATTGGGCTGATTTATTAAAAATTTAACAAGCTCGAACTCAAATACAAAAGAAAAATTAACGAATCGAATTTAAACAAATTTTTACCGAACTGAGTAAAAATCCAATTTTAACCTGTTCACTAACGGCGCTATTTATTTATAGCCCTACATTTAAGTGCCTTTCCCACATGCTCCCTCATTAAATTATAACATTAAATTATTGTGAAAATGCGCAACCCATGATAAATGTTGTTTTGTTTAGTTCTTTTGAAAGTCATCAACATCACCTAAATATACAACACCAAAATTACAATGCTGACCTGCTTGCTTCGTAATAACACAAAATATACACAAACAAAATGGAGCAATAGAAGCATGGTCACATGATATTTATATTTTCAAACCCATCAAAGTCCATACAATATATATACAGTTATTAGTAACCATATGAACAAAAGAGCAAGACATAGAAACAGAGAGAGAGAGATGGCAGAGTACTGTGTAACAGGGGGTACAACAGAATAATCTTGTTACTATTCATGAAAGCAAGTCACACCGTCCGGACATAGTATAAGAGATTTTTAGAACAAATGATGATCTAAAATAGTATAAGAGGTTTGGTTCTAAAAAGATTTGGGTTAAGTTTTTTAAATTGTTTGTCATTGTGCACTTTGTTCTGTCTATTTTTGTGCATCTTCTTTCTCACTATGATATAAGTGAAAACTGTGATTTTACTTGTATCATAGCATAGAATCATATTGCAAAACTAGTATATTTTTGCAATTACTTTCACTTGTTTTGGCTTGTTTGCAATTTCTTCATTATTTTTCTACCATGATTATTGTGGGGATATAATTTCTGAGTATCAACACGTGGCCAAGGTGACGCCGACGTGTCAGCCGAGGTGCCACGTGTCCTGGTCATGACGCCGAGGTGATCTCAATTAGGCCGAGGTTATCTCCGAAGATATCGGAATCCGAGATAAGCAGATAAGGCACAAGAGTCCTAGAATGAGGAAGGACTTTAGCGTGGATAAGGATAACACTCTTAGGGAGTTTATCTTTATCTCTTGAAGAGTCCAGAATAAGCACTAAGCAGAAGTCCATTGAAGCTAGGCTTCTATGGGGACTAGGATTGAGTTAACTATAAAAAAAAGGCACCCCCGCTGGGTCTAAGGTACGCAATTTATATTCCGAACAGTAAGTTTAGCACTATTGATTATCTTTGAGAGATATACTGACCTGATCGTCGGAGTGCTCCCCGGGTGGACGAACCACCGCCAAAATCTTCTCTTTCTGTTGCAGGTCAGACAGGTGCCATCTATTCTGTTAGTGCTCTCCAGCTGAATACTGAGTTGGCAGTGTGATCGAAAATTCACTCACACAATTTGGCACCGTCTGTGGGAAACAAAGGAGAATAGATGGCCAGCGACGGACAGAAGGAAAAGGTTGGGGACGAAATCCCTGCTGGGAGTGGAAAACATGTTGACCCAAACGTGGAAGAAGATGGTCGCAATGAGGAGACTCAGAACCAGAATCACGGCAAGAAAAACGTCGGCCAGGATGGCGATGTGCCAAAGAAACCAGATCGAAGCGGATACTACAACGAGGACGACCTCCAGGTATGGAAGGATAGATGCCTACGGAGGGACGAAGAGGTGAAAGAGATGGCAAACAAGTTGGCAGACCTGCAATCGGTCGTCAATTTTATGATGCAAAGTAATGTCATGCAACCACCATACCCGCTACAAGACACGCCGATTCCAGAGGCCAATGCCCAGAAGGGAGGGCAGAAGCCAATCCCAATAGCCCCTCAGCACACCAAAAGCGAAAAACACTCTCACCGGCCTTCCAGGGAGGTCAGACGAGGAGAGTCGAGGAAAGAAGAGTCACGAAAGACACATCGAACTAAAGAAGCAGACCCCAAAGAACATCGGCATGTTCAAAGGCAGGAGTTGTGCTTCGACACAACTCATGGAGAAAGGTCGAAAAGGGCCCACAACAAAGCTGAGAGCAGTATGCTGAAAAGGCTAAAGTCGGGAGATAGCCGAGCTCCTGTGTGATACCCCTGTTCTGTATTATGTGAATTGGTCCCTAATACGTATGTGATTATGCGTTTTGATGTGATTTGTGTGCCATTATGTGAATGTATATGATTTTGAATTTCTATCTGTTCGCCGTAGGAATATCTGTTTGAATAATCTGCTTTGGAAATTAAATTGAGGGCCTTATCGGCCACAGAACCCGGAATTGATTACGCCATTATGATTGGCATAAATTTTAGAGCCTACGGTGAAATTTAATTGAAAATTGATTCTGGTCAATTTAAACTGATCAAATTGATGAACAAAGTGCCCAAACATTTTTATATTAAAATATTTTCTAGTGGGGCTCATTGTGTATTGGCATTACACCCTCCTTTGTCCCTCTTGAACTCAAAATCTGAGTTAAACATTTGAGAGAGTGAGAGAGGGGCCGGCCATAGTGAGAGAAAGGGGGAGGGTTGTGCTATTTAGCCTAAAGCTTGGAGATTTTGGAGGTTAAGCTCAAGAATCGCCATAGATTGTGAAGATTAAGCTCCTTGGTGAGTAATTCATGCATTATTAGTCACTATCTTGTGAATTCAAGTCCAATAGACACCCAAGAGCATGAATTAGTTTGAATGAAAAGGAATTGAGTTGTATATGTTGAATTTCAGGCTAATAGAAGCATGCATGTGAAGAATTGTTATAGATTTCCATGTTTGAGCTTAATTTGTGTAATCCATGTTGAAGTTTGAAGGAAATCCATGTGTGTGACCATTTCCTCACCAAATAAGTTGTGAATAATGTGTATTTATTACATGCAAGGGGAGATTATGAAAGGATAGGCTTTGCATGTTAGAATTTGATACGTTGGTGATGAATTGGGATTAATTTGAGGCATGCATGTAAATGAAATAAGAGATTGAGCTTTCTCATGTTGTAATATTGCATTGGTATCATGTTAATATGTGTATATTTGAGTTTTGAGCCATTGCATGCAAGAATTGTAGTTGGAAAGTTGAATTGGAGCTCAAGAACACGATCTGGGAAACCCAGAATTTTGATGTCCGCTCGAGCGGGTATTTCGAGCGGGTATTTCGAGCTCCCAGTATTTTGTTCTCGCAGGCTTGGTGTCCGCTCGAGCGGGAAAGTTCACGCTCGAGCGGGGAGCTATGTTGAGAGGCCTTCCGCTCGAGCGCTATATTTGACGCTCGAGCGTAAATTTCACCCATCCAGTACTTTTGCAGGCCTTGGAGTTCCGCTCGAGCGGGGAAGTTGACGCTCGAGCGGGGACCCTGCTTTCTGAAATTCTGGAAATGCATTCTGTGTTCTGTTTTCCGTTCTCTTTCACTTGTAAGCACTCTTAGGCATATGTTAAGCATTGTAAATGAGCTAATGAAATGTAAATTAAGCCTAAAGAGAGATATGTGAATTAAAGAACGGATTGAACTGTTAGTGACATTTTGTGTTCATGAAATGTGTAGGGTCAAGTTCCAGGGCAAATCCACAAGCTGATCACTGTGAGTAATATCGATATTCAAATGTTTGTGAATGTCCAATTGTCTATTTCCTTATAAGCTTTATGAGTTGTTATTCAGGATTGTGGACGAGAGTCTGATACACATAAATGGACCAAAGGTCGTTTTGATAGACAAGAATGGACCAAAGGTCGTTTTGATAGACATGAATGGACCAAAGGTCGTTTTGACAAGGATGAACGGGCCAAAGGCCGTTTCGACACAAATGAACGGGCCGAAGGTCGTTTTGACATGAATGGAAATTTAGATGGGCCAGAGGCCAGAATGTTTAGAACTACAGTCACTTGAGTTAGAATTTCGTATAGTTATATATATACATATCTGTTAAATAGAATTATGAACTGGGCCCAAGGCCGTTTGGAACATGTTGTCCTACATTGTTATGTATATTCTGTAATTGATATTATTCACTGGGCTATCGCTCACGCTCATTCATGTGTTTGTAGGTGAACCAAGAGAGGCACAAACCCAGCCCCAGTGAAGTCTGCCAGGAACAACATGAGTTTTGGAGAGTCAGCCTCGTGTCTCACGCATGAGACCATCCTTACTCTTTTATCATGTACTTATGTTTTGTCTTGTTAACAAGGGCTTTGTTTATGTCTGTACATAGTTTGTTATAGGTTGACTCGTCTTGGATGATCTTGTCTGTAATGAAATTTATGGTACTGTACTTTTGACGTGGGTTATTAACGTATATAAGTTTGGTTTGTTTTAAAGTGCATATAAGC